CAGGACCCTCAAGCTCCCAGGCCTCTGGTAGAGGACCCGAGCTTGAAGGATAAACCGCCCGCAGGGGCGTGCTGGGTATTTTTTATTTTGAATCCTTACCTGAGAATTCCCAGTGTACACTGTGGACTCTCCACTGCATCAAACAGAAGCTTCAGTTTTGAATCCCGCAGGTTGTTGTTTCCCAGGTCCAGTTCTCTCAGACTAGAGGACTCAAAGCTTAGAACTGAAGACAGCATTTCACAGCTTCTCTCTGACAGGTTACATCCACTCAGTCTGAAAAATGAAGACAAGTATATTCACGGTGCCATGAGGAGCTACTACATGCTGGAATCCTCATTACCTTATGGTAAAAAACACAGAAATGTGACAATCTCCTCTGTCTTGGACTTAAAACTTAAAAAGCCAACAATTTAAGTGCAATTAAAAGAGCTTTTTTTTTAAAGTGCAATTGACTAAATGAAGCTAATTGATGAAAAAAATATATAACTTGACGTGACCTTAGCGTTTCCAATTTGCAGTATGGACTTTTCAACCCAGCAGACAGAAGCTTCAGTCCTGAATCATGCAGGCTGTTGTTACCCAGGTCCAGCTCTGTCAGACTAGATGACTGTGAGCTGAGAACTGAGGACAGAGCTTCACAGCTTTTCTCTGACAGGTTACAGCCACTCAGTCTGAAATAAAGGGGAAATGTAGACAAGGTCAACAAGCAACTTATAAATACCATGCATTAACTCTGGACAAAAAAACAAAAGCCAAGTAAAGGTGGCTTTTATTGTCATTTTAGAAATGTACAGTGGTACAGTACAGAGTAAATCGAGACAACGTTCCTCCGAGATCCTTGTGCTACATATGATATACAGTATAACAGACGAACACATGACTACATAAAGTGCAGTATGCAAAAAACCCAAAACAAGACAGTGCACTGGAAATGTGCAACATACTGAGTACTGTACAAAATATTAAACCAGATTCTTCGATCCCCATGATAGAACAGAGAGTGGTCAAAACATTTATAATTCTTTATTCAATCATCTTCCGGAAGAGAGAGCCCTGCACAGCCCAAAGCCAGTTGCAGAAACTCTAGCATTAGAAGTTAACAATGTGTCTAATATAGGTGTTATTTTGGTCCTTCACACGTCACACATAGTTTCGATATAAAGAAGTACTTGTATGTTACTAGTTCAGCTTCTTGTGTCTGATTTATTAATATGCCTGTGCAACTCTGCACTAAAAGTTCCCCTTTCTTTACTTCCCCTTACTGAAGTCTCGGTTGCCAGGGCAACTTGTCACCCTCTGACCTAGTTCTTTGTCACCTCTGGGCCTGGTTTATACTAGAGATGGCACGATACCACTTTTTTATGTCCGATACCGATACCGATATCATAAATTTGGATATCTGCCGA